TAAACCAGAGACTTCATCAGCCTGAGACCAGAAGAACTAGATGGTGCCTGGCTACCACCAATGACTGCCCTGACAGGGAACACAACAGACAGTCCCTGATAGAGCGGGAGAAAGGTGAGGTGCAGAACTCAAATTCTAGTAAGAAGACCAGACTTAATGGTCTAAACGAGACTGGAGGAACCCCAGAAAGCACGGCCCCCGGATTCTCTATCAGCTCAGAACTAAAACAATTTCCGAGGCCAACTCTTCAGACAGGGATTGGACTGGACTGTGGGACATAAAGTGATGCTCATGAGGAGTGTGCCTCTTGGCTCAAGTAGATACAAGAGACTAAATGGGCGGCTTCTGTCCGGAGGGAGGCCCCATCCAGTACAAAAGTCCAAGTGCTGCAGGAGAACAGCGACATGGAGTTTGGCTTCCAGCTGGTGCTGAAGAAGTGTTTGGGCCAGCATTGGAGCATCACCAACGTCCTGCGGAGCCTTGCATCCTGACCTGCCTCCACCCAGGAGCCACCTCTCACCCATCACTTTGCTACTGTGTAGCACCTGCTGCAATGCCGCCTGTTGTCCGTGTAGGGTTGTTTGGAGCCTGGGGGAGTCAGGTCAGTGGGCCCCTAAAAGAGCTTTTTATCTCTTATTAAATTTTCATGAGATTTATAGAAAGATGCTGAATGGTGGGTGAGGATGTCATATCATGAACTATTTTGCAACTGTAAATAGGGGACAAGTGGAAAATATTTATAACTGACAATAAAGTACTATTGATTAAGAAAAAAAAAACTCAAAGGCATTCACAATTCATCCAATTTTTACTCATCTCCCTCCTTCACTCCCAGTCTCAGAGGAAGACAGACTTTATTCAATTCCAAGACTAACTTCCCTTATCTGGACTCTTACTCCAATCAAGTACCAGTCCTCCCTTCATCAATTAACCCTTCAGTTTCATATATTCAATAACTCCTCTCTTCTGGTTCTTCTCTCTCAGGCCCAATGAATATTTAACTACACCTCCTCCACCCTGAAAAGTTAAAATGCAAATAATTTACAAAGTTGTTGTTAGTTGCTGCCAAGTAGGCCCCTGACTTATGGCAACCCCATGCACAGTGGAATGAAACACTGCCTGGTCTGTGCCATCCCCGTGATCGGTTGCAGATCTGACCATTACGATTCATAAGTTTCTTTATCCCCCATAGGGTTTTCATTGGCTGGTGTTTGGCACTCAATAAACGTTTGTTGGATTGAATTGTACCCTACACTTTAATCAAACAGAACTACTTACTGTTCCCAAACACATCCCACGGGCACTGAGTTCTCTTTCACACTTCAAGTTGTTTCCTCAAACTGGACGAAACACCGTCCTTCCTCTTTTCTCTTGTAGAAATCTTTCACATCTTTCACGTTCCCTTTAAAATACTCTGACGCAGACTTTTGACTCAGACTTCGTGAAGCCTCTGCCAATTGAATTCTGTCTCTCCTTCTCTCCCCCATCCCTAACCTAACCTCTGTCATGATAGACCCATGCCCTGATACATCCACCCTATCAGGCTGAAAGCTATGTGAGGACAGAAATTGTGTCCTCCATCACCATGGAACTCGACCCATTATCTTTTCTCCCAGTACTCCATAAATAGTTTTTGAGTGAAATAAAAAGGCTTAATCACTCTACACCATGTGTCTGTCAGTTTCTCATACTGTGGTGGCTTGTGTGTTGCTGTGATACTGGAAGCTTTGCCAGCTGTGTGGATCATAACAAATTATAGATAACACCACGAAGAACGGGAATTCCAGAACACTTAATTGTGCTCATGAGGAACCTGTACTTAGACGAAGAGGCAATCGTTTGAATGGAACAAGGGCATACTGTATGGTCTAAAGCTAAGAAAAGTATGTGTCAGGTTGTATCCTTTCCCCATACTTATTCAGTCTGTATGGTCAGTAAATAATACGAGATGCCGGACTATATGAAGAAGAACGTGGCATTAGGAATGGGAGAAGACTCATTAACAACCTGCGTTATGCAGATGACACAACCTTGCTTGCTGAAAGTGAAGAGGATTTGAAGCACTTACTGATGAAGATCAAAGACTGAAGCATTCAGTATGGATTACACCTCAACATAAAGAAAACAAAACTCCTCACAACCAGACCAATCAGCAACATCATGATAAATGGAGAAACTACTGAAGTTGTCAAGGATTTCATTTCACTTGGATCCACAGTCAACACCCATGGAAGCAGCAGTCAAGAAATCAAATGAAGCATTGCATTGGGCAAATCTGCTGCAAAAGACCTCTTTAAAGTGTTAAAAAGCAAAGATGTCACTTTAAGGACTAAGGTGCACCTGACCCAATCCATGGTGTTTTCAATCACCTCATATGTATGTGAAAGCTGGACAATGAATACGGAAGGCCAAAGAAGAACTGACGCCTTTGAATTGTGGTGTTGGCGAAGAATACTGAATATACCTTGGACTGCCGGAAGAACAAACAAGTCAGTCGTGGAAGTACAGACAGAGTGCTCCTTGGAAGCGAGGATGGCGAGACTTCATCTCACATACTTTGGACATGTTATCAGGAGGAACCAGTCCCTGGAGGACATCATGCTTGTTAAAGTAAGGGGTCAGCGAAAAAGAAGAAAACCCTCAATGAGATGGATTGACACAATGGCTGCAACAATGGGTTCAAGCATAACAACGATTATGAGGATGGCACAGGACTGGGCAGTGTTTCGTTCTGTTGTCCATAGGATCACTATGAGTTGGAACTGACTCGACAGCACCTAACAACAACCACTCTGCTCTGACATCTACTTCATCCCTTGCTGCATCAAGTATAACGTCACTTGATTATACAGGCCCCAGCTTTTCCCTTTTCCAACATGTTTTCAGACTCTCATTTCTAGAAAGTAACTTGGCTCTCCAAGAATCAGAAAGATTATTGTTAAGTAAAACTATCTTCCTAAACCATTTTAAGGAAAAAATAAGTAAAAACTCCTTTAGTTTTATACTTTTACCCCAATAAGAATAAATGTCAGCCTATGGAAGTAATGTTTCCTTTACCTCTGAGAATACTTACGGTTGCTCAGAGGTTCAGAAACACTCATTAGCTCAAAAAATATGCCCCTTAGATATAAAGCCTTCCTATCTTTCCTAACTCATCACTGATAATAAGATCTTTTTGGTACTTTTCTAAAGGAGGAAAAAATAAATGAAATGTATTCAAGAACTCAGAATAAATTAGCATCCCAATAAACTAGAGAACCAGACTAAATGCTATACCCTTGAGTGAATCTGCTGCTTCTAAATTAAATACTTACTGGTAATAAAAATGTAAAACATTCACCTAACTAGCATTAAGACCCAATTCAAAATAAAATGAGGAAGAAATGTTCTAAACCTGTCTTTTTTTATATATATTACTGTATATTATATATTACTAAACTGAGTTCATAATAGAAGACACAAAAGGTCATCATGGAACATGAAATAAAATGCACTTGGATTCTTCCTGGAAAGTCAGTTTGCCTTTTATTCATTTCCATTTCCTTAGAAGTTAGAGTTCCCAATGATTCTGGAAATAAAGACTGCAAAGTTTGAGATCTTTAAGATAAAAAAGAAAACTACAAGATAACCAAGGGCTGATGTTATCTAAAACGTCATTCATTGGCCCCAGGGTAAACCTATCAAAATGAATAATATAAACAATGGGATTCTTTTCCATTGTATAAAAAATAATCTCAGATACTGCAAATAAATAATGACAGTAAAGTAAAAACCTGCCTAATAATGATAGGCATAATGAAAAATAAAGGCCTTCCCACCAACATCCCACCCCTGCAAAGGATTCTGGTCTATATTATATCTCCCCTGGTCAGGAGCCCTGGTGACGCAGTGGTTAAGAGCTACAGCTGCTAATCAACAGGTCGGCAGTTCAAATCCATCAGCGGCTCCTTGGAAACCCTATGGGGCAGTTCTACTCTGTCCTACAGGGTCGCTATGAGTTGGAATCGACTCAACAGCAACAGGTTTGGACAGACTTACACATGTCCAATTAATAATAATTTATATGAGGAAGTGGTAGCTCTCACTCAAGGTAATATTTAATTGGGCCAAAGATTGGTAAGTTGTGATGCTTAAGGTTGTGTGTCAACTTGGCTGGGCCATAATTCTCAGTGGTTTGGCAGTTGTATGATACTGTGATCTCATCCATGATGAGATTTGATATAATGTGATCACTTCCCTGATGGGATCTGCTGCGAGTAGCCAATCAGTTGAAAGGGAGTTTCCTTGGGCATGTGGCCTGCGTGGAATATAAGTGGACACTCTGGCAAGGCTTGTGGGCTTTTGCTCATTCTGGATCCTGCAGCTGGCTCCTGTTCATCTGACCTCCAGTTCTTGGGACTTGAGCTAGCAGCTTACCTGCCATCTTGCCTGCTGATCTTGGGATTCACTGATCTTTGCAGCCTGTGAGCAAGAGCCCTGCTCTCTGACCTGTTCATCTTGGGTTCACCAGCCCCTGCAGCTATGTAAATCAGGAGAAGCCTCTATCCTGACCCACGGACTTGGGACATTCCAGCCTCTACAACTGGGTGAGCCATTTCCTTGATATGACTCTCTCTATATATATATACTTATATGCTTTACTGGTTTATGGTTCTCTAGAGAACCCAGCCTAATACATAAGTTCTGAACTTATTTCCAAAGGAACTGTGTGTTCATCCATAAAGAAGAACCAAAGAAACCACTGAGCATTTACAATCATTCTCTGCACTCAGCTTCACAAAAAGAGAGAGAAAAAGGAACTCCGTGGATAATGCCAACACAAGTGATCCTAATTCTAAGCATGAGCTCTGCTTGTTACCTTCCAGTGGAAAAAAAAGTCCTTGAATGTAATGAGGTCCAGTAGCTCAAAAATCACAAACATGCCTCCTGAAAAAATCATCAAATGTCAATAATGAGCAGCTAATATGTTCTATAAATGTTTCTTAAATTGTTTCAGTAAAAATTGAAATCTAAAAGGAAGCTACCTTAACGCTTAGGCATCAGAAGTTGGCACTGATGGATAAAGCTGATAATCAGAACTTTTCCTACAGGACTCTGAAAAGAAAAGAGCACAGGCTGGGGGATGAAGAGGTGACTGACTTTTTACTAAATCAGAGAGAATGCGGAACCTAGAGTGAAAAAAACTGCATTGTTCGTTTCTGTTGGTTTTGGGGCCCATCCAGTCATCCACTTTTTAGAACAAGCAGCCAGTCAAACACCAGTGCTGCTGCCTAAAATTTTTCTGCCTCTGACTCTTGCTTTGTTTAACTTCTCCCACTGAGCATCCCTGGCTCAACAGCAAACCCTGGACACAGGCTCTCCCTCAGGAAATCAGTTCCTGTGAGAAGTCATTCCCAGGCCTCTTAAGAGCTGCCAACATAATACCCCCAGCTGTTTGCTGAATAAGAGAAATGCAATGGAGTTCTCATATTATGGAAAAGGGCCTTAAAACAAGCAATCCGATTTTCAAAGGACCATCAAATATCATGATTTTATTTAGGGAATTTACCTTATCAAACTAAATTTACCCTCATCTGGAATACACTCAATTGCCTCATTTTAAAGATGTTTTCAACTGTCAATGTCTCCCTCCTATTTGAAAATAACCTTCTTGATCATTTCTTCATTCAACAGACTTTTATTTAGTGTCTCTCATAGTCCAGGTACTACGGGGTCAAGATTCTTCTGCCTAAGGGAGAGGCAACTAGATGTCATGGAGGTTAAGAGCTACTTTTGCCTCATTAAACACACCCATGTGATTAACATGGAGAACACATGTCAATCTCTACCTTTAATTTGTTCCATATGTTTACACTCATTCTTCTGCTATTAACTAAATGAGTTCTGTGATCAGTATGGCAGACATTCTCTGTCCTCATTTGTACTAAGTACTAGTTGTTTTTAAACAATAGAACAGGTTTAAAGTCCAGAAAAAGTCTCCAGTCCTACCCACACATGTGCCTAGCTACAGATGCTCAAAAAGTGAACCAAGACATGGTAACAGACAGAAGCCACATCTGCATATGCTAGCAAATATGAATTAGTGGAAAAAAGCAACAAACTACAAAACTGTGGATTTAGCAGGTATGTATGCAAAACAGTATCAACTATTCCTTAAATAAAAATAGTTCAACTTCCTGCTTTTGTAATTTGCAATAAAGGGAGATTATAACTATTTATGAAATTCAAATTCTTAAGAGCAGAAGAGACATGAAGGTTATTCCTACAGACAATCCCAACACAGAGACTCACTCACTCTGCTATGTTCAGATAGCCACAGGAAGCTGCTGCATGGAGGGGGGTCCAGCCCTCGTTGTCCTGCTGGTTTATGTTGGCTCTGTTCTCCACCAGAAACTTCACCATGTCCAAATTTTCATCAATACAGGCCTGAAAAGAAAATTCCATTCATTCATTCAGCAAGGATTTATTGAGTTCTACTACATGCCAGACACTGCCCTGGGCACTGATAATACAGAAGTTCTAATAATATTCTATTTCTTGTAAGCTGGAAGCTGATAAGCTTTGTGATTTTATGCAAGCCCCTTAATGTTTCCATGCCTCAGTATCTCAGCTGTGAAGCAGGTATAATGATAGTTGGTCTTATTATATTAAATATGAAAGTGATTTGAAAAGTGCTATAAACGGGAATGCTGTTTCAGCATTATAGAAAGGACAGCATGTCAGGAACTACTGACTTGTTTGTGAATTTTAAAAGAAAACAGTCAAAAAGAATCATATGCAGTTTTCTCAGTGGGAAGTTGTAATTTAAGACTATGATGGCTAACTAATTCCTGCTTGGGTGAGAAACAGTGGGGTGATCATTTCAAACAGAAGTCTTTTCATGTATTTCCTGAATGGCTTCCAACCATATGGCAAAGTATGTTTGCAGTTATGGATGGTTAGGGATCCTTATCTGCCCACCTTATCGTAGTAATTAGGAAAACGCAGAGAAGCTGTTTGAATAGAAGCTTTAGATCTACCATAAGCCTTAAAAAAACAAAAATCAAAAGGCTGTTTCAGTATATATACAGGAAAAAAGGAGGTAAAAGGCCACAATGATAAAGGTAATCATATCTAGGCTCAGATGTTTTCATTATGGTTAGGATAATTAGGACCTAGAAACAAATGAGATTCCCTTTTTTTTAGCTTATCTTTTAATACCTCTCCTTTAAAAAAAAAAAAAAAAGTTAAACCTTTAGCTGAGAAAGAATTAATTATCCAGATCAAAATGATTTTCATAACGATATGAAGACAATTTGTCATTTTCACTGTGTTGGCACTTGTGCTAATGATGCAAAAGCAACAGTGGTTAAACCTGCTGGTCCCTTAGCATGGATGGAGGCAGTGGCGCCAGACGACATAGCGGTGGTTGTATTATTCCCCATCATGCACTCAGCCTTAAGAGGAAAAGCCAGTTTCCCTTACGAATGACCTGATGAAGCAGTAAAAATGATTAATGTTAGTAAAACCCAATCCTCAAATACATGTCTTTTAACATTCTGTGTGACAAATGGGAAGTATGCATAACGCACTTCTGCTGCCTAACAAAGTACTTAAGTTCTCCCTAGGAAAGAGTGCTATTGTGCATCTGTTTGAGTTGCGAGATGAAATAGCCACTTTCTTCATGGAACACTATTTTTACTCAAAAGAATGACTGACAGACACATTATGATTATTCAGACTTGGGTATTTGACAGACATTTTCTTAAAAATGAACAAAGTGAGCCTGTCATGTCAAAGAAATAATTGTTGCTAGATACAATTCAACCATTCAAGTAAAAATTAGAATTTGGAGGAAACATATCTGCCACCACGAGCTGGACAAGTTCCCAATTCTTACTTTTTGTTGAGATCAGCGGGAAAATGAACAAATGTTATTTGCCAATACTATATAATGAAATGTGTTAACACTTGGAAGATCTGCATAAATCAATGAACCCACATTTTCTAAATAACCAAATGTATGGTGTTAGAAAATTATGCATGCATGGGTAAAAGATTCAAAGTACAAGACAGACCAATGGATTTTAATGTAGCAGAGTAAGAAAAGTCCACTGACACTGTAACTAACCTTTAAAAAAACTTCTACTTATTGGAGTTTTGGCAGAGTACCAAAGAAGAATATCCACAACTATCTGAAAAGGCTATTAAAATACTCTCCCTTTTCCAGCTATGTGAGGCCAGAGTTTCTCTATATACTTTAATCAAAACGATAAATCACAATAGATTGAATGCAGACATTGAAGAGATTTGTAAAAACGTAAAACAACGCTACTCTTCCCAATATTTTTTTTGTTTTTGAAAGTGTATAGTTATTTTTCGTTAAAATATCATATTTATATTAACGTGTAATTGGTTATTGTTATTTTAAATGACTTAATAAAAACATATTTTTAAAATTTCTTAGTAGAATACAATAACCTTTATGAACAAAAGTTCTCTGGGGTTCTGAATAATGTTTTAAGAGTATAAAGGAACCCTGAGATCAGAGTTTGAGAACTGTCTTAAATCAAACATACCAAGAGATATTTTATGGCAATAATCAGCAACTGTTTAAACAGCAAAAAACGACTGTGGGAAGAATTCATGTTAGAATTCCAGGGGACCTCTGTGACTACAGGACTTAGGCAGACATATCTTACCAAGAGAACTTATGGAAACTCCCTCTGGAGGTAAACCTCATGTCAATCCTGCCTACAATCAGTGGGTGAAAGAAAAAAGGTTGATTCAATTTAGATAAAAATTTAACTGGGTAATTCTGTTTACGAAAAGCACTTTTGTTAGTTTTTCCCCAAACATTTGATGATATTCTTTTTACAGTTGCTATAAATCAGCCCAGGCTAGATACAATACAGTATATTCCTCCAACCTGACCTTTGAGGCCAGATGACTTTTTATAGCTAGTATTCATAATCGTCTCTTTTTCAACAAGCAGCTCCAGAAATTATATTTCTTCTAGAATACTATAAACTTATTAACTTCCACAGCATTCCCCATTTGCTCTTTACTTCTTTACCATGTAAAATATTTCATAATTATGCGTATCACTAAGTTACTCATATGCTGTGTGCCCACCAGTCTGCAATCCTATGGGCAAGGATGAGCCGACTCATTGCAGAGTACCTCGCTAAAAACTGTTGATAAAGATTTTTAAGTGAAAAGATGGAAGGGGGTACTTTCCAAAAAGTTACTGAAGTCCAAAGACAAGAAAGTGTTTTGGAAGTTGTGCTTAAGTGCACTCTCTCTGCTCCTGTAATAATAAATTCCTGTATCAAGATGGTCAAATGTGCCATCTTAACCTGTGTGGGCCAGAACAGTTAGGTCAACTGCTTCTTGCCTGGTTGCAAAATGTCTTTGGCGCCAAACGAAGAACAGTCTAAAAACTTAGCTCTAATGGCCACATCACCACAGGCAGACTCTGCCCTTTGAAAATGGCAGCAGCCAAATTCCAGAGGGCCTAAAATAAGCCCAGCTCGTCCAGGTATCAAGTGGGAGAAAACGTGTCTTTTCTCTTTCCTTCCCTTTTATATACCCCTCTTCCTTTTCTTAATCTCCTTTACTCTATCACTCTTTCAGTTTTCGTCTTTAACTTTGTCATATTATTATCTATAAATCTTAAGTTCTTAATTCAGTATTTTCATGAAAATGACATTATGAGGATATTTGAGAAAATAACAAAAAGGTGGTCTAATCTACAAGGTAGTTTGGCAGATCATTAATCTCCAAAGAATCATTTTAGAGAAAATAAAGTAGGCCAACTGCTTAAATCATCCCCCATACATCCTCCATAAACTGAAGGATAGCATATTGTTAAAAGCATCAGCTTTGGAGTCAGGCAGAGCCGGGTTTGCATACCAGCTCTGTCAGTGTGTATAATCTTGGGAGAGGTATCTAATCTAAATCTCAGTGTACTTGTCTATAGCATGGGAATATCACCTACCTCATAGATTAAAGGTGGTAAGTCCTCAGAATAGTGCCTGACATAGCTGTTGTTTTTAAGCCAGTCGTAAACAAACAGCAACTTCCCCAGGAAAACATACAAACTGTACTTACTCCTAACCCATCACTGCTTTCCCCCATGTCTAGTGTTTTATGAAAGGAAGGCAGTATGGTTTAAATGTCTTTGAACTAGCAAGATTTTAGAGCTTGTGTTTAAGTCTGACTTGAGAATATTCCCTCATGCTCAGAATCCCAGGAGTTCCTAAATTCAGGAGCTATGTGAATAAAGTAGGCTGTACAACGGTTAAGGTGGAAGAGAATCATCCAATCAACAGTTATATGACACTCACTCTCATGAAATACCTTGGAGAGTCCATTCTCTCTCTTTCTCCCTCCATTAGAAGGACTATGACTAAAGACATGTAGGAGAAGCATGGTCCCTGCAAACTTTCTCAACTGAATAACAACTAAATATAGATGCCCTTCTGCCCACTCCATCTGCAGCTGTGCTGCTGACTCATTCATGACTGAAGCATCGTACATGAGCAGATTCGCCCATCTATAAAATCTGTCCAGGTCCACCGACTCCAACACCACGCCTCTACACAAAGCTGTACTGAACCTTCTAAACTGAATTTTCCTTTTCTTGAATAGGGAAGGAGGCTAAACAAATTTCTGATGTAACCCATGACAACAATGGGGAAATTTCTTCTTTACATTTAACCCAAATTCCTTTTGCTGTGGCTTAAGTCAGTTTCCTCCTATTTTGCATTCCTGAGGACACAAAGAATATTAATGATGTAACAACTTGTTCTAAATGTCTTAAGAAAACGAGATATGATTTAATCATCCGTCCAAAAGAACTATTTAGAAAAACTGCCAGGTAGTAAATCTCCCTAAAGCTCCCAAAAGTCAGCATGTCACATTTCCCTGGCAATGACCAGCTATCTCTGAGGGAAAATATTTGATTTTACCAATAAAATGGGGAAAGAGCACTGTGGTCTCTTTACTGTACCTGATATTGCTCTCTCTATATCAAAGGCAAAAGTGCCAGAGTTAAATCTGGGAGTGCAGAGAAGCCTTACAAAACAAAGCCTCCTCGGTTCCCAAAATAGCCTGCAACTGTCACCGCCACCAAGTGCTGGCTCTCAGAGCTGACCTTGTGTGGTGTCTCAGGATACGGCTAACACTACCTGCCTGGGCCCCAGAGCACTCACTCTCTTCCCCACAAAACCCAGACCCAGGTGCCAGGACAGAACTCATCTCGACACAGTACAAGCTGGGTTTTGTGCAGCAAAACACCTACTTGTTTGGATTTTTCAGCCCATGCTTGCCTTAATTTCAAAAGATCATGCTGACAAAAAGTGTTGGGAGATGACGATGCTTGTAATATGTCCCTATTCCATACTTTTCATGATTTTTTCCTTTATCTTTCAAAAATTTGCATA